TGGGAGGAAGAACAGGTTAGGGAGGCGGGGACGAGCTGGACTGGTTTTGGGATGCGGTAGGGGGAGGGGAGATTTTGAAGCTTGTGAAATCCTCCGGATCCAACGCATCATCCTCCGACACTTCCGCCATCTACAATCCGACCCCACCACTAAAGACATCTTTCCCTCCCCACCCTTATCTGCTTTCCGGAGGGACCACTCTCTCCGTGACTCCCTTGTCCGCTCCACACTCCCCTCCAGCCCCACCACACCCGGCACTTTTCCCTGCAACCGCAGGAAGTGCTACACCTGCCCCCATACCTCCTCCCTCACCCCCATCCCAGGCCCCAAGAAGACTTTCCACATCAAGCAGATGTTCACCTACGCATCTGCCAATGTGGTATACTGCATCCGCTGTACCCGGTGTGGCTACCCCTACATTGGGGAGACCAAGCGGAGGCTCGGGGACCGCTTTGCAGAACACCTACGCTCGGTTCGCAATAAACAACTGCACCTCCCAGTCGCGAACCATTTCAAATCCCCCCCTCCCATTCCTCAGACGACATGTCCATCCTGGACCTCCTGCAGTGCCACAACGATGCCACCCGATGGTTGCAGGAACAGCAACTCGTATTCCGCTTGGGAACCCTGCAGCCCAATGGTATCAATGTGGATTTCACAAGCTTCAAAATCTCCCCTCCCCCTACTGCATCCCAAAACCAGTCCAGCTCGTCCCTGCCTCCCTAACCTGTTCTTTCTCCCACCTATCCCCTCCTCCCACCTCAAGCCGCACCCCCATCTCCTACCGACTCACCTCATCCCGCCCCCTGGACCTGTCCGTCCTCCCTGGACTGACCTATCCCCTCCCTAACTCCCCACCTACACTCACCTTTACTGGCCCCATCCCCGCCTCTTCGACCTGTTTGTTTCCTCTCCACCTATCCTCTCCTCTATCCATCTTCTATCCGCCTCCCCCTCTCTCCCTATTTATTTCAGAACCCCCTTCCCCTTCCCCCTTTTCTGATGAAGGGTCTAGGCCCGCAACGTCAGCCTTTCTGCTCCTATGATGCTGCTTGGCCTGCTGTGTTCATCCAGCCCTGCACTTTGGGATTTGTTTGACTTTGTTTTTATGCCAATCTTCTAAAACTAGTTCAGGATTCAAATTCCAACTCAGCGATTCATCATTGAATTTTCAGTAAATGTAGTAATACACAATAGATCTGTAATTTGAGGAAGAATTTTAATTCCATATCACTTTAAAATATTGAGCTGGAATTTGAGGTACAAGGCTCTTAAATGTCTAAAATACACTTATTCTCTGAAGGACTTTGCAGTTAGATATTTGTAGAATTTGTATAAAATGCTGCTGGAGCTTTAAGGGACTAGGTTGGCATGAACAGGACTGCAAAAGTAAACGTTTTTATTGTTGGACACCATATGGGAAAAAAAATTAATGTTCTAAGGTTGTTTTGGGCTTTTTATTTTTAGTTTGCAGACCGTTGGTTGCATGCCTCCTCCTGTATCATCTGCTGTAATCCTAACCAAAGCAGTTGGTGGAAATGAGGTGGGTAAGGTTTATATTTTGATCATTATATACGTTAGACAATAAGGTTATAAAAAGTAAATTAGTTTGAGTTTTTTTTGTTCCACTTTTGACTGATATTAAGTTTGTAATAGAGTTATGTTTGAAATTGGCCCTTGTTTCCACCATTGCTGGCTGTGCCTTCAGTTGCCAAGATTCTAATCTCCAGAATTCCCTCCTGCAACCTTTCTGCCTCTCTTTCTCCATTTTAGTCAATTGTCTTAAACATACCTTTTTTACTACAGTTTTGTTTGTCTTCTGTAATATCTTCTTCTGTGGTTTGCTGTCAAACATCTGAGGATTTTATGATGTTAAATATACTGTATAACGCGCTGTTGAGGCTTTCCTTCTACATCATGGATGTTGTGGGTTTGGCAAATCCTCTTTTTCGGATTACAATCCAGCCTTGCATCCCTCTCAGAAAAATTCATTGACCCCCTTGTGCTTGCAAACTACCAGCCCCTTCCCAAGCTCTATTTGTTTCTCTGGCACTCATATGGGAGTGATTGGGTGAATTTATCTATGCCGTTCCCAGACTGACTGAGAAAATCTAATCACAATTGTGAGCACTCGGAGTAAACAACACTTAGAATGAGTGAGTGTCAGGTAACTTGCTTTAAAAAGTGCAATTATCCATAGTTTTTAAAACATTCCTTTTCCCATTTCAGTCTGCAGTCAAGATATAGAAAAAGAAAATACTGTGGTCTTTACATTAGGGTGATGCCATTGTGCATAGGAGTATATACCCATTACATTGTAAAAGCACTTTTATTGCTAACTCACGCCTGTTGACCTTTGACGAGTCAAATACTCTGCTCTCAATGAAAATTTACTGCCTTCCTTGTGTATGTGCTTTTAAGTTTAATGAAGCATTGATAATTATTGAAGATATTGATTAATTCAACTAATTCTGTTTCAGAGTGAGTCCAAATACCCAACATATCAATATAAATATAGAAGATATTATCACTGCATGACTGCTGTGGTTAAGATTCATGATGTATTGTTTGGAAACTTGAATTGTAAAGCAAACAGAATTGTATATGGCTTTAAGTTTGACTCTGTATTTCTATACAAAATAGAGAGGGTTAAGGAGGGAAGGACTTATTTTCATTTTGAGCCCTTAGAGTGGTACTGTGTTGTCTGATTTCACATGGATCTAAATAAGGTTTTTAATTAAAAGAAAAGAACTTTGAGGTGAACAGTTCAATGCTTCAGAAAACAGACGGTAGAGGAAAAGAAAACAATTGGGTGTTGCCTAGCAACAAGATGTACTGTGACATCAGGAGTCAGACAGAAAAAGGACTGATAGGCTTAGAAAGTATTTTAGAATGAAAAAGAGACCTAAGTAGTTTAATGTCAATAAGAGAAAGCTCCCAAAAAAGGTTGTGGAGGAGTAGTTTGAAAAATCAATTTTAAGTTATATGTGAGCTGTCTTAGCAGCTTGTTTAAGGCTCTCATGAAGAACCATTAACTGAAGAATCTTGCATTGAGTGAATGCAGGTATTTTCTGGAAAGAAACCAAGTGCAGCCATGCCAACTGAAGAAGAAACTTTTAACGTCAAAACAGATGAGAGCCTTCATTGAGGTTGGAAATATGTAAGGTTGTTTGTAAAGGTAAAAGGATTAAATCTTTATTTCTGATATTTGTAGTTAGATTTTCAAAAAGTAATGTAGTCTGAAATAATACCAGATCATCAATAGATAAGTGAAATGAAAAAGGAGCCTTTTTAAGCCAAAACCTAGCCCCCAACAAAGAAGTGGTCCTCAAGCAAATCTCAAGATGTGCTGACAAAAAGAAATGATTTCTTGTTTGGTTACTGCCGAACTGTATGGCTGTGGTTCTTGGAAATACATGTTCGAATCCCCCCCAGGTTTCTGCCCCTGCCACTGTTCCAAAATAGCTCTTACAAAAGTCATATAAAAAAACTCTGACTGTGCCCATAGCACATTATCCTCATTTGTCTTTTTTTGATTTTCCTGCAAGCTTTTAACTTGTTTGAACACACTGTCCTCCAGTTTCTTTTGTCATCCAGCTGAATGGGATTGTAATCAGTCATTTCCATGCTTATTTATTCAGTTGCATTTAGAGAATCATCTGCAATGGTATCCATTTTTGTTTTGCTTCAGCAGCATTACCTCTGCTCCCCAAGGATCAATTTACGTCCTCCTCCTCCACCCACCCCCCCACCCCCTGCCAAAGCAATTAACTTCTGTCAGTGCTATAAGCTCTTTTTTTTCCCAAACCAGCAACTCAACTCTTCTCCCTGACAACTGCCTGATGCTGATAAACCAGGCAACTATCAATTTTTTTAATCATATTTGACGCTTGGATGAGCTTCCAACCACTTATCTGCATTTTCACTGGGATGCCTATTATCACCTGCATGATACTGCTTTACTATGCCCTTACAGAAGCTTATCTGTATTTGAAACTTCTGTCCTGTCTTTTATTTTTAGCTTTTGACTGTTTCAATGCACAGGTAGCTGGCTTCAAAATTTTACTGTCCATACACTTGGTCATTCAAAATTCTGCTGTGTCCTAACAGCAGGTTCTGTTCACCAATCTGTCAAAACCCTGGAACTCTCTCCCTAACAGCATTGTGGGGTGTACCTACACCAAATGGACTGCAACAGTTCAAGAAGGAAGCTCACCACCACCTTCTGAAGGGCAATAGATGCTAGCCTAACCAGAGATGTCTACATCCCATGACTGAATTTTTTAAAAAAAATTCACTCCTGTACTCATAGACTTCTTATCAAACCATGTCACAATTTAAAAATTCTCCATTTGTTTACAAATCTCTCATGGACTTCCCTATAGCTAACTCTGTAAACACTTTCCCCCATGAGGCCATTGCCATTGACTGGAAACTGAAAGAGCCATATAGGTGTCGTGGCTAGAAAATCCATACAAAGGCTTGGAATTCTGCAATAAGTAACTCAACTGTTACCTCCCAAAGCCTGTCCACCAAGACATAGATCGGGGTTTTGACACATTCTTCAGTTGCCTGTATGAGTGTAGTTCCAACAGCACTCAGACTTGACATCATCTAGGACAAAGCAGCCAGCTTCAACGGCACCCCATTCACAGGCTTGAGTATTCACTTTCTGCATCAATGGCACACAACGGCAGTGGTATATGCCATTTACAAGATGTGCTGCCGAAACTTGTCAAGGCCTGTTTGGCAGAACATTCCAAACCTACGATCCTTACTGTCTAAAAGAGCAAGGGCAACCGGTTTATAGAAAGCTGCCAATAAAACAGGCTTATTTGGAAAGGAGGGAGATCAAAACAGGATCACTTGCAAGATCACCTTCAAATCCGAGACCCCTGTGTGGTGTATGTATATCACATGGGATTGCAAGCAGCTTAAGAAGGCAGCTCACATACCTTGAGAATTCTTGGGGATGGACAGAAATAGACCATTCACCCCATTGAATCTGGTCCATCATTCATTGCAATCATGACTGATCTGCTAATCCTCAACTCATTTTCCTATCTTTTCTCCAAATCCCTTCCTAATTAAAAATCTGTCAATCTCAGCCTTGAATGTACTTAACGACCCAGCTGTGGTAAAGAATCCCACAGATTCACTACCCTCCTTCACATCTGTGTCTTAAATGGGTGACACTGAGATTGTCGTCTTGTCCTAGACACTCCCAAAGGAGAAACAATCTCTCTGCATTTACCTTGTCTAGTCCCATAAGAACCTCATATCATGAACCCTTTCTGACCTGCCCACCAGTGCCAGTATATCTTTCCTTAGGTAAAGGAACAAAACTGTTCACATTATTCAAAGTTTAGTCTAACTAGTGCCTTGTATAGTTTTAGATTTCTGTAGTTTTACCTTCCTTTAATACTCCATTACCTTTCAAATAAAGCCCAATATTCTGTCTATCTTTGTTACTTGCTTAACTTGGATGGCAACTTTTTGTGATGTATGCACAATGATTGCCCCTTCATGAAGCTATCTGACTCTGCTTGAATTATGTTATGTATATACATGTTTTAAAGTAGACTCTTAACATTTGACAGATGTCACGTTAACAGTCCTGTGGTTACCTGTTTCTGTCTCCCTTCTTTTTGAATAAGCTTGTTACATTGGCAGTTTTACAACCATTTGAGACTTTGCCAGAACTTAAGCATTCTTGAATGATTACTACCAGTGCTTCCACTATCTCTGTAGCTATTTTTTTTTTTAAATCCTAGGATGCAAGCCCTCAAATTCAGGAACTTAACTTGTAGCTTTTAGCTCCATTACTTTCCCTAGTACTTTTTCTCAGTATTATCTATTGTAATCTTTTTGTCACTGACACCGCCCTCCCCAGCACACTTTTTTTGCCCCTTTATTATTTCAGTATTTTTTGAATGCTCTTTGCTTCAGTCTTTACAATAGAAAATGCTAAGTATTAGATCAAATCTTTTGCCATTTCCGGGTTCCCATTATTATTTCCCAGTCTCATTTTCTAAGGGACCTATGTTCACTTTATCTTCTTTGTTCCAGTTTATATATTTAAAGAAGCCCTCAATGTCAGTTTTTTTAATATTGTTTAGCTTCAAAGTTTATTTTCTCCCATTTTTGGTAGTTTTCTTTTAATTTTCCTAACCATCTAGTTTACTACTAATCTTTAAATCCAGTTCTGGCCAGTGATTCCATGAATTTAATTGTTATGCCTTTGATAGGAATGCATTGGTAATGAAGCCACACTACTCAACAAGTTGTACCATTAGTATAAGTGTTTTGATTTAGTCATCAAAATGGGCAATTGTTTTGCATTTGTACTGCTACAGAATGAAAGAAACTTTCACCAGGCTTTTTTTAAAATGAGCTCCAAATAATCTATTTGTTGTGGAACAAAATTTGCTTTTAAGAACAGTTAAAATGTAGCTATAATCTGTATTTAGAACTATATGCCATTTTAATGTTAAAACAGATGCACTCGTGCAACAGAAATGAAGACACAGATTCTGCAGAAGT